ATGAAAAAGGGTGTGTCTGCAATACTAATTGCCGACAAGAACAGATTGCTTAAGGAACAAAAACGACAAATTCGGCATTGGCAAACATATTTAAATGAACTTCAATTGATATTGTAATTCTTAATATATGTTTACCGTTTCACAGAAGTGGAAAGCAAATAATTATAAATTTTATAATAAATGTATGTATAACATGCATAGAGAGTCGTATGGTTTAAAAAAGAGAAATTAGCATATTGCCCACATGTACATATATAATAGCAAACACCTTCCACAGCTGCAGCCTACCCATATTCCTAGGTTTAGACATTGTTGTTTATTATTTAAATTAATTGAATTTAATATGCGGTTTGTTTGCCATTTAAAATGTAGCAAAGAAATATGGAACATGATCATTAATAATACTACTCCATATTCGAAGAAATTTGCAGTCAAATTTTGCAAAATACCCAAATCGGGTATTTAATAAGGGTAAAGTTATTACTTTGACACGTACTAAAACAATTTTATAGTTTATCTACCCATTGAGATGACGGAATGAACAATATCTCAAACTTCGAACAATAAAAACTTTTTTTAAGTAAAAAATGTGAACCTTTGCCGACCACGTTATTCAACCATATTTCATAATCCAGGGGGAACCAGAAGAACTGAATTTTCCCACATTTCATAGCAAATGTCACCACAATTTCAAAATACCTATAATTGAGGGTACCGTTGTATTTGCCATATAATGATAAATCAAAATATCGAATTTAGTTTTAATTCTGTTTAAATGTTTTCACTCTACAACATTTTCACACGTTATTCAAAGAATATCAAAGTGAATGTTATATCTAAATCTGACCCGATCTGAACAACATTTTTCTGAGTTCTTTCTAGCCTATAAATTCCCAGTTGTTCAAAAAATATCAATTGTCTGCTGATGTATAGTTATATAACTAGTTACTTTATACCCCAAAAAAGGACACAAAATTGACTGTTGGATTTATTTGTCGATTGAAAAAGTTGTCTAGGTATATCATTCCAATTCAGTAGTTACTGGTAATGAATCGTGTATGAATACAAAGAAAACAGAACAATTGTTTTGTCATTTTGTTTAGACTTTTTAGAAATTTTCGGAATTTTAAAAACAAAAATCGAATAGAAATGTGTTTCCGCAAAAATATAATTTCAATATTCAAATAAAATACAGATAATAAATTGGTGGTAAGTTTTTTTGCAAAACAAAATAGACCAATGTAATCATTCTACACGCTTCATTTCTAGATTTCAGAAGCCCCCAGAGATTGACAGGTTCTTCAAATGCCTTCTGCGAACATTTAATAGCGATACAGGAAGAGGTGTCACTCCATAGAGTTCCTCAGCGCATCACTAAATGCTCAAGGGGTATACTGCCGATTTTCTATAGGTAAGTTTTCTATAACAAAAAAGCTTTATGTAGGACTTCTAACTTCAACTGTTTCTAAATCGTCTGTTTCAGATAAATCTATTTAGCCAGGGAGACATATTTGAAAAGCACTCGACCGACAAAAGAATCCTGAACTAGGGACTTTTAGATGGATCAAACAATATATAAATGTATACAATACTCTGTTATCTATATATATAAAAATAAATTGCTGTTCGTTAGTCTCGCTAAAACTCGAGAACGGCTGAACGGATTTTTCTTATCTTAGTCTTGAAATGTTCGTGAAGCTTCAGGGAAGGTTTAAAATGGTTCATTTAATTTGAAAATCGCGAAAAATTTGCAAAAAATTTTATGAAGCATATTTGCATTTCCACAAATTTATTATCGAGCTATTTGGTTGCACCACGTCATAGGTGGTAATTTGAGACATTTTGGGCAAAAATTGGCCGCGTATCATTCCTTTAAGTCTACATTTGTCAATTATTGAAAAATTTTCCAAATATTTTATTATTATTTTTTTCAATTGGATTGACATTGTATTGAAACTATTTTTTCTGAGAATACCTAAAAAATTTAAAAGTGTATCATTGAATTTACACGCGAAAATTGTATGTACACGTTTTCTATAGAATGCACGTAAATGTTGGCCAAATCCTAGGATGGAAAATCAGAAGACATTCTGAATGGAGTTCGTGTCCATTCAGGAAATTTCCTTGAAAATAATAATAATAATAGTTCCATAGGAACATGTTGTTCCTTAAAGTTCCAAATCAAGTTGTACCATATTATGATGGTTATATGCCTAATCATTTGTCAATATCTTTGAACTTATAAAAAGAATACCTCACATATATCCGACATAAAAAAATTGTATCTAAGCAAAATACCTTATGTGAAGGTTATACCAAAATATCCATCGAAAACATTTATTAGAACAAAGTGTCTCATGATGTTCTCTATTCAGGTTGAACATGTAACTATAAAATTGCAAATTGTAAAAATGGGGGTAAGAACTTAAACATACCGAAAAATTGAACGATAAATATTTATGGCGTTTTTTTAAACGTTAAGGTGATGTTATTTATTCACTGGAATCCGGTATGCCTAATTATAGCCAACTCTTTGAGAAAATTCGGCCTTTAAAATACTTGGACCTAAATAGAGATTTTTTTCTTACCCCCCAATATACCGGAATGACATATTACAGCTAATACAAAGATTTGACACCACTTTAGTAACCATTTTATGGGTTTTGCCCGGAAACTTGAATACCGAATATTGTATGTACCGTTATATAGGGGCTACCCTACAAAGGTGGACCAATATTGATAACTTTTAGTAGAATTTATGCTACCAAATAAAACAATCAAACAACCTAATCAGCTGTAGGATTAGGTTGAAAATATATAAAATATATATCCAAAATATAAAATTAAGCCAAATACCGAATATTAAGGGATGACGTTATTAGTTGGAGACCCGGACACATGGGCACATATTGATAGTTTTAATTAGAGATATTTTCTGCTCAGTAATTATCCCTTATATTAAATTAGAAGCAATTCTGTTGAAGGAATATTTTTTTTGGTACGGAAATTTTCTGCTCAATGACAATCGAAAATATAAAATTACTACCAATTCTGTTTAAAAAATCGTCAAAGTTCCTCATATTACAAAATACCGTTTTATGGGGGCTACCCTTAAAAAGCTAACTTAATATTGGGCTACCGTTATGAGGAAGTCTTATAAATATATTGGGAAAATGTAATTAAATCCGAAAGTCAAACTTATATGCGCATATAAATTTATTTAAAATATTTTTTTTCCACGAATTTGAATATTAATAAATTTATATCAACAGAAACTTTAGAATGCAAAAATAGAAAAAAATATTACCTAATGGTGGAGGGTTTAAAAACAAATCTAAAATTCCGGGAATTATAAATCAACAATATTGCTAGGCAAGACAACTTTTGCCGGGCCTGCTAGCAACAACTATTTTTGTACAGAATAAATTGTAATTTTCCAAACTGTTATACATCTAGTCAATATACAAATACAAAATAACCAGTTCATAACCAGTTACTCGAACTACTGGGTTTGGAGTTACTTAGACATGAAATCGGATAGAGCATATATATGAGAGCTATATCTAAATCTGAACCGCTTTGAACAAAATTCTACACACTTATTTGCAGACTCAAAAAAATCGTACAAACCAAATTTCATCGCAATCCGTTGTATATTACGGTTTTGGTGCATCCTAAACCTGAAATCGGATGAAACTATATATGTGAGCTATATCCAAATCTACACAGATTTCTTCCAAATTCAACAATAACCATTCTAGTAACAAAAAAATCAGTTGGGCCAAATTTCATTACGAATACTATTATTTTGTTGCCGCTATGAATTTTTCAGAGAAAAGTGGTCTTTTGTTCTATAGTGCATACTATGGATTTGTGCATGTCACAATCATATGCACAAATACATAGTATCCTTTACTACAGTGTGATGAAGGGTATACAAATTAGACCAAATTCTGGTGAGAATTTAAGTAACGGTATACTTAAATTCTCATATGGGGTCCATACTTGGACCGAAATAGTCCACATTCGAACTTGACCTGCTTACATACAAAAGACAATACAATTTACCACAATTTGCTAAAAGGTCAAGGAATGGACCTATGCGACAATTGTTTGTAAGAATGCGCCCTATCCACTTAGAACTGAAATACAGTCAATTCGGTCAGAAAATGTGACATTTAACAAAAAAAAAAAAAAAAAACTAAAATCTAAACATGTCAGAATGAAGCTCACAGTTTAAAGACAGAGAAACAGAAATGTTGAAAAGTATGTATTTGAAATACAATCACAAAAAAATATGGCAGGAAGATAGCCAAAGAAAAAACAACTCTTCTTTAAACCCCGTTGGGTTCGTTTAAAGACTCACAAAGTCAGTCTTCAAAATAAACCAGTTGAATGTTCATAGATAATGGTACCATACTATTACATACCTTTTTCTATAAACCTACAATTGGTATGTTCTTTGTAAGAATTGTGAAAAAGGCACCAAAACCAAAGGGAGTTTTAAAAAGAGTTGTTTGTTTTTCCTTTGCCTATCTTCCTGGCATAGTTTGTTGGTCGAATTAATAGCAAGTTCAAATCCAGTGGGAAAAATCATGAAAAAAAACTTCCAAAATGTATGTTTTTGGCAGATGTGCCATTATGAGTATGATGTTGTGTTTTTTTTATTTTATAAACAAAAACCTTAACTAATAAATAAAACCCCAGTTAGGGGCTTTCTTTTATTGGTTCAAGATTTCGAAGTTGAAAAATGTGTTATTGTTACAAATACCCATTCAGAAATAGTAGACAAAGTCACTTTTAATATAAATACAAATTCCGCGCGACACATAAATTACAACACACTAACTTTTTCAATTTCTATCTATTGTATATCTTTTTGTAATAAAAGAGATAATGTATTCCTAATGATGCTATTAGCGGCAATAGAAAAATGCAAAAAACACTTTGATAAAATATTGATGACATAAATAAAATGGAAAACAATTCAAATTACTCACGCAACCAAAACATCAGGATCTTCCCATTTACGTGAAGGTGGTTCTAACAGCAGGCTGACATTACGCCAACCTTTACTTTTTCGCACCTGAAAGTCACATAAAAGGGATGAACAATGCTTCCATTGTTTTTATTTTCAGACTCACTCGATAGCGTTTGGATACATTCACACTGGGACTCTTCTCTGAGAAAACTAGACGCGCCATATTTTTATAGGTTTGCGTTGGTTGGATTAGCTATTATTTTGGTGGTTTCATTGATTTATTGTCTTCAATATAATAAATATGTAAATGATTGAAAATTGTTAGAAAATATTCGTATGGATATGATGACAATTTTGTAATAAAAAATTAATTATAATTGAAGTTTGTGACGAAGCAAGCTTGTGTTTGCAATATTTTTCTGTGAGCTTGTAATTGAATTGATAAACTTTTGATTGCGAATTTGAATATATTGTAAATAATATAATGAACGTAACATCCTAAATCAGTAGTAATGGTACACTATATGGTACACTACAGAACTACCACCAGAGTTGCCAAAACTTTGTTGATAAAAAATTCTAGATTTGTTTAAAAAAGTGCTAAAAATTAAAAGTGCCAAATAAAAGTGATAATAGTAGAATTGGCTGTAATTTTATGTTTTTGAATCTCATTAGGCAAAAATTTCCCTACCAAAAATTATTAATATGGGTATACTTTTAGGGGTAGGCCCTAAAGAACGGAATTTTGGCAATGTCGGGCACGTTTTTACATCAAATTGACTATAATTTGAAAGTTTTTATGGGTGTGACAAAATGTCCCATTAAAACGTATTGATATCGGATTTTGGATATGTCATTCTCCAAAACCCCCCAAATTTGCCAAAGTTTTAGAGACATTCTCGGGGTTCTTGCAGGGTAGGATATATTTATGCGGACAATTTTCTACATAGGTCTACGTTTGGGCATATCTCTCATATAAAGGTTCCATCCTATTTTAACATTAAAAAGTGTGACGAGATCCATTACTTAAATTTGGCATTCCGGTGAATAAGAAAATCCTTTCCTGAAATTTTCCGATTTAGGTTAATGATTTTACATCGCTCCCATATAAAAAACCTCTTAATTTGGCTTTCAAAAAAAAAAAAAAAAAAAAAAAACATAGCAGGCGATGCTATAGTAACCATTTGAAGTACCAGACAATTTTTTGAGAAAAATTTAATAACTAAACATAGTGCAGGGCATGACATAATTATGCCATGGGTGCAGGGTACAAAAAAGTACAGGTCGCATTTATGATTCGAATTGGATGAAATTTGGCATAGATCACTCATTTCCCCCATGTATGAACCCTATTGAAATTGGGAAAAATCGGTTCAGATTTAGATATAGCTCCCATGTACCAATGCCCCTATATATCTATCGATTTGCACGAAATTTAGAATAGCGTACTGAATTAGGTCTAGAATAATGTGTGCCAAGTTCCCCGAAAATCGGTCCATATTTAGATATTGCTCCTGTATATGCTTTCGTCTAATTTAATGTAAATGGTGTAGCAATGCCCCTATATATCTTTCGATTTGCACGAAATTTAGAATAGCGTACTTTATTAGGTCTAGAATGATGTGTGTCAAGTTTCCTGAAAATCGGTCCAGATTTAGTTATATGTTTTCGTCCGATTTAATGTAAATGGTGTACCAATGTCCCTATATATCTTTCGATTTGCACGAAATTTGGCACAGCGTACTGAATAAGGTCTAAAATGTTGTGTGTTGAGTTTCATGAAAATCGGTCCATATTTAGATATAGCTCTCATATATATTTTCGTCCGATTTTTAGTAAATGGTGTACTCATATTTATCCAATCGGATAAATATAAATACCAATCCGTATTTGCTTTAAATTGATTTACATAATTGTGTCCCATTATATGAAGAAGAAGAACAAGAAGTATAGTTTGCAGAATGAAATGTTTATGAATCCATTTTCATATTAATGGTCCTTCAAAAACGCGACATCTGTTAGGATTTATCTATTGAATATACTCAAAGTGGTGAAGGGTATCATATAGTCGGCCCCGTCCGACTTTACTACTTTCCTTGCTGGTTTTTTGTTTACAGATATACTGACATTGGAAAATCAAACTCATACCCAGTTGTTCAAAAAATATCAATTATCTTCTATTATCTAGTTACATAGAGATCTAGTTACTTTATATCCAAAAATGGAACATAAAGAAGATTGTTGGATTTATTTGTCGATTGAAAAAGTTACCTAAGTATATCATTCCAATTCAGTAGTTACTGGTAATGCAAAGGGTACACAACTACACAACTACGTTGTCAGTTTATTATAGCTTTGTGCAGCCCCAAGAGTTTGTAACGCCGCGAAATATTGGTCCTAGACCCACCTTTAAGTATATATGACTAGATGAGTCGATCTAGACATGTGTGTCCGTCCGTCCGTCTGTCCATTATAATTTGTAAACACGATACAGGCCACAGTTATGGACCAATCTTCACGAAATTTTGCATGTAGGCTGGGTTCTGGCCAATGAAGACCCCTATTGTTAGATCGGTTAATATTTAGGGGATGAAATGGACCAAAAACTTTATTTTTGTCGGTTTTTCTGCTCGCTCCAGAGGCCGCAATTATGGCCCAAACCCCGCGAATTTTTGCATGGAGAAGCGGACCGGGCCAGAGAATACCTTTTTTTTGATAAAGATCGGTCAATATTTAGCGGGTCAAATGGACCCTAACTTTTGTGTGAAAAATGACAACATTTGTATTCTATAGCGTATATATTTACCACTGAAGGACGTAGACCCGAGAAGTTGATAGTATATCCAAGAGGAGTGGTTGATCTTTTAATTGATACCAATTGTATTGTCGTAGGTACTCGGATGTGGGAGTTACACTTAAATATTTACAGGTGCTTACGTATTCAGATATTATTTAATAACCTATTACCACACTGGAGGGCGGAAATATAGCGGGGATCGCTTTGAAATGTTCCATGAGGTTCCAGTTATGGTCAAGGACAACGCCTAAAATGTTAGGTGATGATTAGATAATAATTTTTCGGATGAAGTGGACCGAAAACTTAATTATTTGTACTTTTCGAGTCGAAAGCCGAACATCACAACACAACCCATGGTGAAGGGAATCTGGACAAGTATGTAGGGGGGCTGTACTGATTATTAGTAACATTTTCTGACCACTAGCCAGAAATATCGCGAAATATTGCCGAATCTCAGAATATAGAACCACAGAAAGTTAGATTTTCATGGAAGTTGTGTAGGGTATCGTATGGTCGTCCCCGTCCGACTATACTGCTCCGCTCACTGGTTTATATATACATTTTCATAGACAAAACAAAACAGAACAATTATTTTGTCATTTTGTTAAAACTTTTTGTAATTGTCGGATTTCTAAAAGAAAAATTCTGATAGAAGTTTGTTTTCCGCAAAAAATATTCGTGATATACTATGTGGAATGTATCATACCATGTGATGTGGAACCTGAATTTCTATATTCAAACGAATTACATATAAATTTGAGGTAAATTTTGACTTTGTAACACAACACAGACAGAAGTAATTTTTCTACGGGCTTCATTCCAGGTTTTCTAATGATTTCGCCCTTTCAGATTGAGAGAACACACAAAGGGTTAGAAGCGGTTCCTTCAAATTAAATTTTACATGTGTTCTGTTGATATTTAGTAACGATACAGGAAGATGTATCGTTCCTAGATGTCCGAAACACATCAATAACTGCTCAAGAGATATTCTGCCGATTTTCTAAAGGTGAGTTTTCGATGATCATATATAAATCTTCTAACTTTTGTTAATTTTAAATCTCAATATTCTCTTCCGAGACTTCTATATCACCTGGGATAAAGATTTGCGACATAAGACAAAAGAGACGCGAATTAGGGATTTACAAATGGATCAAACCGTATAATTGTATACAATACTATATTATAATAAATATCAATAAATAATGATACGTATACAGAATTATTTTATAAAATATTTGAAATATTCCAAACTGTTATACAATCTACTTTGTTATATATACGTAACTAGGTAAATGTACTGCCATTTTGTACTACCGTAATGACTGTATACTGGTAACGCAGGCAGGGGACAATTGACTTCCCCAATGGCATACCCATGTTAAATTCACCAGTCTATGGCATGATGTGGTAACTAGTGGTAGTTGCAGGTAATTAGTAAAATAACTAGTTCATAACCAGTTACTCGAACTACAGGGTAGTTTGAAACAGGTAGTTTCGAAATCGAAAGAGCTATATTGAAAAGCACTAAATCTAGCACTGACTACCACTGAACTCTAACTTTCTGCTGATATATATCCCGAGTCAATGCTTCGGTTAATATGGTTAATTGGTTAATTTATCACGCTAAATATTGGCTAATTATAAACACAACAGCTATTCTAATTAGTTGGCCGGATCCATATTTGATGTTTGACTAACAACGTTAGTCTCTAGAGCGTTTAGAATAGCAGAAAAAATGTAGTTTTAGTACCATTGAAATAGTCAAAATTTCTCAAACCCAAAGAGAATATTCGGTACATTTTTTCAGTTTTTCTTTGACAAAGACGAAAATACAATCCAATTATGGTTCCGAAACTGTAACAGCCAATTATATGCAATTTTGGTTTCGTTCAGGAATTTTTGATGTTAAAGATGCACCTCGCACAGGTAGGCCGGTCGTCAAAAATGTCGATAAAAACGGAAAAATTATCGAAGTTGACCGACATGTTAACAGTCGTAACATCGTCCAGGAGCTAAAAATCGGCCATTTAAAATAATAATAATAATAAGAATGGATTTCTTTTTCCCCAACCTAATGCAAAGGAATTGACAATTGAAACCCACTGGGTTACCGAAACCCGGTTAACTGTAAACGTACTATAATATTTTGTATCCAATGATTTTGTAAACAATGTCATATTGAAGTAATTTCTGTTTATTGATAATGAAAAGCTGAAACCTCCCACACCCACCCAAACATCAAATTACAGTAGTACCCAAAATAGAGAATTAAAAATATTGTAGTGTAGTGTTCTAACAAACTGGCTGTAATTTCATAAATCTTGAGTTTATATTGGGTAAAAAACTACCTTCCAAAAATAATAACATTGAATAAGTCTTGGAGTAGCCAGCATATAACCGTAACCCCATAATATTGGTAGTTTGGG